TATATATATATATATATCTATGTATGTTAAAAAAAAAACAAAAGAGGCAACGTTGTCGCCTCGTTTCTTCTCCCGCGTGGGGAACGGTTTCTTCTCCCCGTCAAGGCTTCTTCTCCCTGCACGAATGAGGAGAAGTCGTCGACGACACCGAGGCCTCGTCGTCTTAGACGAGGAGGCGACATCTTATCTGCGGTGTCTGGCGAGGGAGGGCAGCGATGGATCGGGATCGTCGAGGGAGAGTGGCACCGGATCTCCAGGTTCTCCCCCTTCTTTCTTCTCCCTCGGCTAATACCGCTTGGTAGCGGGCGGTGACGGTCGAAATCGATCGTTACCGACCGATTTCGGATGGTAACAAGGTGGAAACAACCTCAATCGATGGTACCACCCGGTAGCGGACGGTCCGCGTATCGGTCTGCTAGCGGATCGATACGGGCAGTATAATTTGAAATTAAAATCCTTGGTTTAATGTCCTTCTCTCTTATTGGCTTGCATTATATACTTGATTTCAGTTTCATACGTCAAGTCTATCCGGCTTGTGTGTAAGGGAAGATGTTAGAATTTTATATAGAATAACATTTTTCCAACAGCTTAGTGGCCATCCAATTGAAACATTAATTAGAAATATTCTTTATATGTCAATCATTTCAAGATATCTCATCCATTAAATGATTATGTGAATTATTTACAATCAAATTTTACTTATTAAACACATCTCAATTTAATTGTTCATGAAGTCTGATGTCACATTTTTTCTATTAAGTACTCATGTTGATTTTGATACAAGTGACCTTTTTTTCATACGGTAGTCTTGTGCTTGTAAAAATTATATTTCCATGTTTGTTTTTGCATATCAACGCGGATAAGCAATTAACTATAGAACACTCATTTTCTATTTCTTTTAGCGTTTTTTAAACATTTGTTTAAATACTGGTACATATCTCAAATTTGGATGTTTACATTTAAATGAGTACTGTTTTAAAGACCAAGCTTGTGGTTTGTACCTCCTTCACAAAATATTTATGCTTTCTAATACAGTAAACGAACCAGTCTCCACTTCTCTGGGCATATCAACATAACCACTTATCTAGAATTTGGTTTATCACTGAAATCAAAATTCATTGAAATTAGAAAAAGTTTAGCCAAATCTCTTGATAGGTTTGTTCATGAACCAAGGCTGAGTAGGGTCTCTACAATTGTATTTATTTTTTTTTCTGAATCTTTTTTTTTACGTATTACACCAATATATAAATTTTTAACAGACAATTAATAGACATATATATTAATTTAATAAAAATTATCTGTTTTCTATGAATAAAAAAATTAAAAGTTTAATGTGTAAAGATATTAAAAAACCAATTATAAATAATACACCCAGTTGCAGGATATTAAGAAATAAAAACAACTATAAAGATATGTGTTTCTTGAAAAAACTGTAAAGAGGTGTTTCATTAGACACACTAACATATTAGTATAATTGCAACACTATAGCATTAGTCAAGATTTCAATTTTACCAAAGGGCCAATATGATTCCACAAAAATGGGAGTTGAAGTCCAATCCTCCACCCCTCATGCTGTGCCTTCTGTGCCAAACAAGCATCAGAACCGGAATCACTCATCTTGATTTTGATTGTATTTTTGCTCTACAATGAAGTATAAACACCTTTGGCATTCTCAGGGAGCTACCATTATTGATCAACATGTATGCATAACACGCTGGGGATCTTATGATGAAGATTGTAGTTTTTGGAACAGACCATCTCATGAAGACAATACACAGTCCACGGTATGCATTTTGCTCCTTATTATAAATATTTAGTTATTAAAAATTGAACTAGCTTTAATGCACTTTATGGCATCTATTAAAGCTTGTACTAGTGTCATCTGTTGATGTTTTATTTAGTTATCTATTTCTTTGGTACGCTGTCACTAGAGGGTTTATACCAATGTCATTTATTATTGTTTTAATTAATTAGTCATCTATTTCTTCTGAGGTGTTAGCAAATTTTATTTCACGTGAAAGGTATCCAATAAATTATTAGTACAATATTTCAATTACTGTAGCAACCATGGGCATAGCTGCTATCAACCATTGTGGATTTAATCATTACAGTTATGTAGTCCTTCATTTTCCGATTCAAACATGCAGATATTAATAAACAAAAGATTTTTTTTTATAGAATGGACATGCAACATTTCCAATAACCAAGTAACATAAAAAAGATAAGCTAATAGTGACATTGTTCTAAGAAGCAGGTACACTATGCAAGCACTCAGGATGCTACATAAACAGACAGCTGTATATGTCCATATATGGGGAAATTTCTGGTGTATACCTCTTGAGGCGTTAAATATCATGTATGTCTCTCCAAAAATGAAAAATATCACCGATGCTGTTCTGCACCCTCAATCCCCTCCACAACCCTCATGTTTGATTCTGTCAGCTGGCTGTCAAATTTTGATTGAAATGATGATTGTTTAATTGTTTTTTTTTTCTCATGATTTGTCTATCCCACCACTTCCAATGTGATGCCATAAAAAGTTATGTGAGTTGTATATTTTTTGTGGGCATCAATAACTTATAGAGATGAATTTTTTAATCTTTAAGCCAATTTGGAATGTTCACATAATGCATGAATTTATTCAATGCATAATGATGCCTAATGATCAAGAGAGAATTAAATTGGGCACATCCTTGGATCCATCAAATTGAAGTTCAAATCATATGTTCCATTTGGTAAATGTCAAGTTTGAGCTAGATCAATCATGATCTGAACTTGTGAAAACTTTTGAGCTCCAGTAGATCGGATGCACACATGAATTAGATTGATGAATGGATAAAATCGTGGATATTGTTGAACCAGATCAGGCACACTTCTAGTTTGAACAATTAGTGCATATATTTTGTTCCACGCAGATCAGTAGGTCTGTAATATATCATATGTAGATCCACATCCATAGATGGTAATCGTGCTATTCGGTTCTAGCTGATGAAGCATAAGTCGATCTGCATGTATACCGACCCAACACATCTGTTCACGTCTTTTGAAAACTAGTTACATTTTCTGCTGAATAATATTCAATCAGATCTGTTTTTTATGATTGCAAACATGATATTAATTGTTATGATATCATTTTTTTTGCACCCCTGTTTAGTTTCTCATGATTTTTTTCTGAACTAGCAGCTTTAATATGTTATGTCATTTATATTTCATCGATGTGGTTGTTTTACTCCTAAGTAGATGCCCGAGGTCAACCATTTGAACACGACTCCTAGAGAAGCTGTGACAATGACTCAGGAGGTGGTCAAGACCATGCTGGCAATGGGATACGAGTTAAGTAAAGATGCCTTGATCAAGGCCAAAGCGTTTGATGAATCTCATCATGTCACAGCTACTGCTGCTGCCATGGTTGCTGATCTGAGCAACAGAAGTGGACTGACCGACAAGATCAATGCTGGTCTGAATGCTGTGACGTCGGTGGACGAGAGATATCATCTATCTGCGACCACCAAGGCAGTTGTATCTGCCACAACGAGAACAGCAGCAAACATCACAAACTCAGTAGTTAGCAGCAGCTACTTCTCTGCTGGAGCTCTTTTGGTTTCAGATGCTCTAAACAAAGCTGCCAAGGTTGCAGCAGATTTGGCCACTCATGGTGCTAAAAGGTGAAGCAACAGTTTATCTATAATGCAGAAAACTCTAAATGAGCAAAATGTAGCAAAATATCCAGAATGCAACTAGTATTTCAAAACTGGTGTGTGCCATGAGCCGTGTTATAATAAGTGATGAGTTGTAAATATCACACGACAATGTTCCTTGTTACTAGTTGTGGTTTCTTGGTGATGCTGGTGAAGTTTGGGATACATGATTCTAGCTAAATTTGGGATCTAAAAGGAATGTTATGTACTGATGCTCCCAATATTTCAACTGTTGTTGCATGTGAATAGAAATGTAAATTCTCTTCCGAATGCCAGTTAAGGTTTCTAAAAGCGAGGAAATTTATGTTAGCTTGTGAATGTTTTATGTATATATATATATGTACATATATATATATATGTACATATATATATATATATATATATATGTATATATGTGTATACATATATACATATATATATATATATATATATATTTATATATGTGTGTGTGTATATATGTATATATGTATATACATATATATATATATGTATATACATATATTTGTATGTATATACATACATATATATATATATATGTATATATGTATATACATATATATATATATGTATATGTATATACATATATATATGTATATATATATATATAGATGCATTGTACACACGAGTTCAACGTTGCATGTGAGCCGTACACTGTGTATTCGCATCAGGACCAGCCGGAGGCCAACGTCGTGACGTGGCAAGTGATTACTGGCCAAGCGACAGTATATATATATATAGATGCATTGTACACACGAGTTCAACGTTGCATGTGAGCCGTACACTGTGTATTCGCATCAGGACCAGCTGGAGGCCAACGTGGCGACGTGGCAAGTGATTACTGGCCAAGCGACAACCAGGGGAGGCGTCATCTGGGTTTGGTCAACAATGACGACGTGCCGCATCTCACTTCTCTTATGACAGTCAACCGCAAACCACATACTTCTGATGACCAAAATAACCTTCAATTTATGAGAAACAAAATCGAACTTGCTATACCAAAAAAGATAATTCCAACTTCCAGTAAAAAGAATAACAAAGAAAACATCATATGCAGACTAATTTTTATTTATCGAATCAGAATAATTTCTTTGTTTTAAGATAATTCCGATACCATTTATATTTAACACTATCGAGGGCACATATGTCATTTCATAAAGTCTCGAATTTTATATTTATTAGCAATTTTATTTTCTCTTGCCCCTATAAAGACCGAGAAATGCAACTTCTCGACAGCGTTAGGCAGCGACTAGTCCTCGTCGGGGACTCTGCCTGCTGCTATTTTGCGCCGTCCCCTCCGCCCCTTGGTGGAGCTCCTCGCATCGCTGCCTCCTCTAGGGTTCGCCCAGGCCCCGCTCCAATCGACCCCCTTGGTTCTGTTCATCGAATCTTCCCCTTCTCGCACCAACCTCTCTTCGCCCTTGCTCTGGAATGGCGCCAGATCGGTTGTTCCTGGCGGGAGCTACGGTCTTCGGTGATCTATAAACGGAGAAAGGAGGCGTCTTTGCGCTTGTAGCGGTGTCTCTTGGATCGGGTGATGGAGGCGAATGCGGCTTTAGGCTTGCAATCCTGTCCTTGGATCGGTCCGGACAAGGTCGGACGGAAAGGAAGCGGTTTCGTAAGGCTTCCGAACCGATGCTTGGAGGAGCGCAGGGTTTCCACGGTTCGATTTGGGGATCCGCGGCGGGGCAGAACTTTGTTTCGTCCAGGACAAGCTGAGCCAAAGATTTCTTGTAGTTATAAGAAGGCCCCAGGTACTTTTGTTTCCCCTCTCTATTTCTCCTTTCCAAAAATCCCAATTTCTAAGCGGTTGTAGAGATCTAACCTTAAAATAAGAACAACTATTGTTATTATTTTGGTTTAATTCGCTTATATGTCATTTAGAAGGTAATCTTTCTAATCGTAAACATGTGAAGAAAGTAGTAATGACATAATGAAGATCTCATTGGCTTTTCTGACATGGGGTTAAACTGTAAAGAATATTGAATACGTTAAATATTTGACAAGTGAACCCTCAGATCCTTGGATTCTATTAGAAATTGCAGGTAGGATTCAGTTAGATTCTATTAGTATCCAGTTCAGAATCTTTTCCATCCATGAGTAACATTGATATTTCCATTGAAATGTTTTTGAGCGTTGAGGTCATCGGACAAGGATGTGTTCAATATCCTTATGGTGCCATTTTGTTCTACCTGAGTTTTTTTTCCTATTGAAAGATAAATTTCTTAATGGTTTTAAATAATTCTGTGATAAGTATAGTTAGTTTAGTCTTTTGGTCAGTTCTACTTACAAATTGTTCACAAGAGAAACAATAAATAATAGTCAGTTGAGCCATTGTTATTTGGTTGGATGCAAAGTCTATGAGATATGGATCATCATGGTTATATATGTGCAACCTATCTGTCCAATCTGCAATGCCTAAACAACACATACTCTCTGCTGAAACTAATTTATTAACTGATGCAGTGCATGGTGAGCATTGGATGCTCCCAAGTTCTAAGACAATAAATTCCAGACTCAACTCTATCAAATTTCAAGAAAATGATTCGTATCTTGAGATAATTATGAAAATTCAAAAACCACCAAAGTACAATGCACCATGAAGTTTAATATTTATTGTAATTTGTGCTTGACTTCTAGTAAATTGTGACTCATTAATTAAGTGGCTGAGGGATTTAATATACAAGAGATCTATAAAAGGGGAAGGAAGGAAGATTGGTGGGGCATTCTAGTTTGTGAAACCTTATCAATTTTTTGTATTTCAAGCTATTAGCTCTTAGTACCTCTTGAAATAGAGAGAGTTCTCTTTGTCCTCCCATATCACACTTCTTTCCTCACCCTCTCCTTCTCCCTTTTTTTTTTGTTTCACATCATTTAGTATTAGAGCCTTGCTATGCTTTTGGAGTACCTCTTTCTTATAGAAACTAGAAAGGGCAGAGGGCGACGCGGTAAAAGAATGATGCGACCAGATAGAGATGAAAGGGATGCAAAAATTGAAGCACTAAGGAGACAAGTTGAAGAGTTTACCGTGCGCCTTGAACGTCAAGAAACCCATGGCACTAGAGGCTCAAGCTATAATTATGCAAGTGGTGTGTTAATAGAACCTTGGGTAATCTGCTACAAATCCAAAACAATGGGATCTCATGCTACCTCGTGTTGGATTTACTTATAACTTTATGAATAATCGTTCTATGAGCAAGAGGCCATTTGAGATTGTTTATAATCGTATTTTACCTCATTATCTAGATCTTGCTAAAGTACCTGAATCACCTTTATTAAGTACAAAGAGAGAGGATTTTGTTATTACCATGACAAAAATTCATAAAGAAGTAAAGAAGAAGCTTAAAACTAGCAACCAAGTTTACAAAGAAAAGGTCAACAAGCATTGTCATGTGAAGATCTTTGAAGAAGGAGATTTTGCTTGGGTCTTTTTGAAAAAAGAATGTTTTCTAACATGAACTTACAATAAACTCAAAGAGAAGGAAATTGGTCTTTGTTGAGTTCTCAAGAGAATTATGACAATACTTACAAGATTGAACTTCCTCGTAACATTCGCACTCACTCAACATTTAACATTCAAGAATTATCAATGTACCATGGTAATAATGACAATAACTCATGGACGAGTGGCGAGGATGATGGAGTGCATGGTGAGCATTGAATGCCCCTAAGTTCCAAGACAATAAATTCCAAGCTCACCGTATCAAATTTCAAGAAAATGATTCGTATTTTGAGATAATTATAAAAATTCAAAAACCTTCAAAGTACAATGCACCATGAATTTAACATGCATTGTAATTTGTGCTTGATTTTTAATAAATTGTGACTTATTAATTAGGTGGTTGAGGGATTCAATGTATTGGGAATCTATAAAAGGAGAAGAAGGAAGATTGGTGGGGTATTTTAGTTTTTGAAACCTTATCAATTTTTTGTATTTCGAACTATTAGCTCTTAGTATCTCTTGAAGTAGAGAGAGTTCTCTTTGTCCTCCCATATCTCACTTCTTTTCTTGTCCTTTCCTTTTCTTAACCTTTTTTGTGTCACATCATTAACCCGAAAATGATTTGCATGATTTTTGGCTTTTTTTATGGGTGATTTTTATTTTTTCAGGTGGAGTAAATTTCTTTCCTTTCCACTAGCTGTGAGGTTGCCTTTCTGCAAATGCTTTATTAACACATTGAGAAACTTGAATATACAATTGCTGAGATAACTATACTGTTCTTTGTGATAATTTGGAAATATTGATTATGCAATTGTTTAGATAACTATATTTTTCAAACGACATGCTTATCTTTGACATTCTTAATTGTCATTTGAAGTTTGACAATTGCATTTTAATTGGTAATCACTTTAGAACTTTTTTTTAATCATGCAGGGGCAGAGAACATCCATAACTCATTTGATGAAGCTCTCATACTAAAGGTTTGATTTTTTATTATTCTGATAATTGACTTAAACAACATTGTCCTTTACCATTTTGTGATCCCGATATTTGTTTAACTGCAGAGAAAGTCGGAAGAAGTTCTCCCCTACTTGAATGGGCGTTGCATCTATCTAGTTGGTCAGTTTTGTGAATTTGTCATGCTAGAAGTGGTTAAACAACTTTCATTGTAAGATACTTGTCTTGTTGTATGGATTATGATGTTTTAATTGGCGTGTTTGTACTTTCTTACAGGAATGATGGGTTCTGGTAAGAGTACGGTAGGAAAGATTTTATCAGAGGTGCTATGCTATTCTTTCTTTGACAGGTTTGTGTCATTTTCTCGATAATGTATACTGTTCATATATATTATATTTATTCCATGTAATCTAATATTTAATGTGTGTGGTTCACAGTGACAAATTGGTTGAACAGGCAGTTGGTGTATCTTCTGTTGCCCAGATATTTAAGGACTATAGTGAAGCCTTCTTCAGAGACAATGAGGTGCTTCCATCTTTGTAATTTCAATGATATTTTGTGATTAATGGATTACAAATATGATATCTTATGACCAAAGTGATATCTGACCAAACATGATGGATAAAAGATCTTGTGGCCAAATGTGTTAAGCACAAATTTGTGATTTCTTCCGTTCTTTTTACTTGTCATGCTCCAGAGTGAAGTTCTAAAGGACTTGTCTTCAATGCGCCGTTTGGTTGTTGCGACTGGTGGTGGTGCTGTAATTCGTCCAATTAATTGGTAGCGTATATAATACAACATAAATCTTTTTCTAAAACCTCATTAAAAGCAATGTCAACTGAGTGCTGTTTTTTTAATTGCCAGGAAATATATGAAGCAGGGGATAACAGTCTGGCTTGATGTTCCTCTGGATGCTCTGGCTCGGCGGATTGCTGCTGTAGGGACTGCTTCTCGCCCCCTTCTGCATCAAGAACCTGGTGATCCTTACACCAAGGTAACCTCCTCACAATTTGATGATAATCTTTTTTTCAGTCTTTATGACTCATACTTCATATCATGGGTATCAGAAGAAGCTACATCACTCCTTTGGAACATTTGAACATTTTGATAGTCCTTTACATGTTCCAACTACCGGGTGGCTTGTTTACTTCCCCTGGTTCATTCATGTAACTTTGAGGGACGTGCTAATCCTTGCTGGTTCCCTTGTGTCTGTCTATTGGTCTTGCATTTCTAGTGGGCTGAACAGTACAGCATATCTTTTGGCTAATTTAGCTAGATCTAGACAAGCTAACTTAAGTTGGGGATTTTGTTCTGGACTTCAACTGTATTTTGATTCCAGAATGAATTAGTTGTTTTTATTAAAAAAAAAAAAACTCTCCTTCCAACTGGACTGGAGATTCTATTTCAAATTAAGTTGATACTTCATCAGTATCCAACTTAGCTTTGATACGGTGGACCTGAGCTGAAGAAGATCGAGAACATGACCCAACTGTCGAAATTATGTTGCAGGCCTTTGCGAAGCTCACTGCACTGTCTGAGGAAAGAGGCAAGGCATATGCCAATGCTGTTGCAAGAGTATCCCTTGAAGGTACATTTAGCTGCATTATTTTAACAAACAATATTTCCCGGATACTCCCTGTTTTGACTCAGGTCTTACTCTGTGCTTATTAATTTCCATTGTGGTGTGACATTTAAGCTTACATATATATTTATCACTTCATAAAAAGAAGGATTCCACATGCAGTCATTGCATTTTTTATTACGAACCTAATCCATCATTGTAGATACTAATTCTTATAATTATTTTTGTGCAGATATGGCAGCTAAGAAGGGCCATGCGGATGTTTCAGCACTTACCCCAACCGATATTGCCTTTGAGGTACAAATTATACTTTTGGTTGCTACAGTTGGTGGAAATATCTTTGAATTCTTCTCTCATTATGTTTTAAACCATCGAAAGATATATATCTTAAGCTTCTTGCGTTTACTGTTTACAGGCCCTGATAAAGATTGAGAGCTATGTTAGTGAGACTGCAGCTGTTTTGAACCGCAGTTGCATCCAGGGAAGGAAAAGCTAATACCTACCTGAGTTCTTGAATTGTTCTTTTATGTATTGTGTAATCATCAGTTCCTTCAAATTAAGTACCTGCTAAGCCAAAGTCTTGTCGATGAGGATAAAATTGCTTCTAGTCCAAAATACACAACAATGTTTGCATGGAAAGATGCTATATTTTCCTTTTATTTAAATAGATTTCTTGGTGTATCAGCAATCTCTGAACCAATAATAAAACATTGTAAAGTAAAACAAGAGCTTTATATCTTCAAACTGAAAAATGATACAGGTGTAGCACACAATCCTGCAATTTTTAACAGCCAAATATCACTTTTCTAGATATTGGGAATCAAAACATTTTTATTCTTTGTTAAGTTTGAAAATTGCTAGTTAGAATTGGTTGTACATCAAGCCACTCACAGATCATGTTGATGACTGCATGAAGACTATCCAAGACCAAGGTTTGAATGATCAGGATCAGACATATGGATCTGGATTGCTTTAAATCAGCCAAATCAGATACACCTTCAATTTATTTTAGACAACCACAAATCTAGAGAAAGTTTCAAAACCAGTCATTACCAGCTGAAGATGACATAAACCACAGGCATTCAGCTGGATTGGTCAGATATTGACTAATTTTAGCCTATACTCATGATTCTCTGCAAAATCATGGGTTCGAGGGACAGGTCTCACTCCAGATTGAAACCTACCATTACTACAAATCTTGAAACATAGGAATGAAAAATACCAATACTGTAGATGTGCAAGAATGTTGCAAATATATGATGACAGAGGTCTCAGATATGGTGTGTGAACTTTCAGGCAATATATGTAGGCAGACCACAAAATATATCTTCTTTCAGTCCATAAACAAGAACAAGGTAGTTAGTTTCAGTTTCCCAATCCTCAGCAATGAATAATAATATAATGCTATGGTTCCAAACATATTTATGTAAATTTTCCATTTCTTTGCAAGTCAGAAGTTTCACAGCATGAAGTTTAAGATATTGTTTTTCTTATAATGATATCAAATGGAGGCAAAGCATCAAGGCAGTCCCTGAGGGCATAGGTATATTAGCAAGAAGCCTAGTGAAGCTACATAAAAAAGACATTTCTTCTATAAACTAGAATCCTGAGGAACATGCAAGATTAACAGCATCCAGGAACTACAATGAAAAATGTTGAGGAATAATAATCTAAGAGCAGTCACTTCATTCAGAAGTACATTGCAGAGAAGATTTCTGAACAAACAGCTCATTCAAAGAATTCAAAGCATCGAAGAAAACCATAACAAAAGAAGAAAGCCCTTCGAAAAGAAAACATATTAACCTACGAAGAACAAACTATGTGACTGATTGCTAGTGCAGCACCAGAAACTTTTGGGTTAAGAGCCTAGCTTCATTTCAGGATTGTTTCTTCCGGCTCCGTGAAGTCAGAAAGTTAAATACCCATCGAGAAATTTGAGTGACACTAAAAATTACTCCGAAAACCATACGCCCATTCACAATCCCCTCCCGCAGTTCCCTTGCAGTTCTAGCTACCACTGGTTCATCAGTCTCATTGCTCGGGTTGGTTTTCCCCTGCATGATTACTAAACAAGTAAAGATTGTGTGAAACACATCATCCAATCTTTCAAGCTGCTTGACTTCTTGAATCATCAAAACAAAGAAAGAGGAACCAACCCATAGGTGTCATTGTAGTCAAACGACGCAACCTGTCCTCAGCCACACGAACTGCTCGGGTGGAGCTTCTGACACCTTGACTTATCTCCTGCCTACACAACCATATCAAAGAAGCAAAGATATGCATTTAGATCTAATTCATAGAAAGTGCACATATCACTCAGCTGCATATGTTGCAATTTAGCAAGACAAGCAAGATTTACAGTATTTTTCCTGACAACACCTTGACGACAAAAGAACAAAAATTTTCCTTCATACAACATCCCAAATATGCTTACCAGTCCAAAAAAATTATTTATTGTTGGTATCTATTAAGATTTATAGCTCAAAATCTTAAGCAGGAGAGAGAAGAGCTAACCCTAAATCTCTGAGCTCCATGGTTAAGTCACTAATCTCCATGCCGGACAATCTAACCGCAGCCATTGTATCAGGCAGCTCTTCAGCTGTGACATCCAACAGCTTTTCAAGTGACTCCGCAGCCTTCTTGAAAGCCTGCTCTCACCAACAAAGCAATTGAAAGACCATGATCGTTGCGAGTCACCACATGAACTATAAAGAAGAGACCTTTGGGCCAAAGACGATGCAGATTCTTGAAACGAAAATATACATACCAAAAGCGCTGGAATCGCAGACAAGAACAGCCATGCCGCTGAAATCGCAGTCTGAAGGATATCATATGCAAAATAGATAATTTAACGGGAAAAAGGTTAAATTTTGACGCTACAAACCAAAATTCTAAACAAAAATGTTATTTTCCCCCACGATCTCCCAACAAACCAAGAGCAAGGACCGGATCGTACAGCGCAGGCGGTGAAATTGAGAAGAAGGATGTGCCTTCGATCGAGATTCCACCGTGAGAGAGAAGGACAAGGCGGAGATACGACGGCGGCGGAGAGGGAAGGGGAATCTGCGGCGGAGTAGCTGACGGCGGCGGGGAGGGGGCGGAAGGCGACAGACGAGAAAGGGAGGCGGGGTCCGAAGGGTGAGCTCTCGTTCCCAATCGCCTGCTCCTTCTGTGATTTCCTAACGATTCTGCCGGACGATATATTATTTAGAAGGGTAGATTGGTCTGAAGCGGCGCAGGAGGAGGGAGGAAGATGGCGGCATCTGACGGTGGCGAACGAAGCGGAAAGAAGCGACATAGCTTCGTCGTCGAATCGACATAGCTATCTCCATCTTGTTATAAGATGGTAAGTAAAATTCCATATATACCCCTAAGTAATATTTGACTATAAATTTAAGCTTACATATACCTTGCAAAACTTTTAAAAAATAAAAATATATCATAATAATTAATCCTCTGCATTTTTTAATCAATAAAAATTTTGGAACCCAATTAATATGTATCAAAATTTGCTTTAAAATTATTAAAAACATGTAAGATCAAATAATAAATTAAAGTAACAAAAAAATTAAATTTTTATGTTCAGTAAATTAAAAAGGTATACACACAAAAGATTAATATTTAAAGGGGTAAATATGTTATTTTGAAACTCCGACCGGATAGATACGTAAAACCATTTTACTTATATACGGTCTTCGCCTGCCTCATTCCCACACCCTCTTACGGCGAAAACCCCAAAACCCTGGCCTTGATCATACCCATGATTTCCGATCCGATCACCCACCGGAATCGAACCCTCGCCGCGCTTCACGTCGCCCGCCGCCTTCTCTTCTCCTCGCTTCCTAGCCTCTCTCCCCGCCTCCTCGATCGCTACGGCTTCGTTCCGCCTCCCTCCCTCCGCCCGCACAATCGTAACCCTAGCTCGGGCCACCAGGCCGAGGCCAATAACGACAACAAGAAGAAGAAGACCAAGGTGCCCTACCGGCCGCCGTCATCGCTCGACCGCGCCGGCCAGGAGCCGGTCCACTCCGACCTTCCGTTCGACTTCCGCTTCAGCTACACGGAGAGCAGCCCGAACGTTAAGCCCATCGGGCTACGCGAGCCTAAGTACTCGCCATTCGGCCCTGGTCGCGTTGACAGGATTTGGACTGGCTTCTCTGCCCCCGCCGTCGACCCTACCGTGAGGTCCGTCGATGGGGATGGGCCGGAGACTGTGGATTTGGAGAAGGCGAAACAGATGAGAACGAAGATTCTTGGGAAGCCGCTTTCCCCGGCCGAGAGAGCATTTCTGGTCGAGAAGTACCAGAAGAATCGGACTAAACGGCAAGTTAACCTCGGTAGTAGTTCTTACTACGCTTCATTTTTTGTCTTAGGCCATCTGCTTTGCGATATTGTTCCGTGGTATAAAGAAGCTTAAATTTTGTTACACGCTTGTGGCCTTTGCTTAGATAGTACTAGTCTTGATACTAGCCGATGATTTGCATTCAGAGATGACCTTGCCAGAATCAAATGCCTGTACATGTAGTACAAAGTCTGATGTATGTAAATCAATTGCTGTTCTTAATCAGGAGCAATATAGGGATGGTTCATGAAATGCTTGTATCTTTCCCATTTCTTGGTTTTATTAGCCTGTTACTAGGTTACTGTATGTTATGAACAGTGATAAAAAATGATGATAATTTATCTTAAACATTTCTTCTTAAGAATTTTTAATGTTTGATGCATTTTGATTTGCAGCAACTAAGTGGGAGTTAAGATATGCATCATCATCTATAGAATGTGTTTGTTTGTTCTATGTCAAGGGATTGACCATAGAGGCAGGAAAATTTTCAGTGGATTTCATATAAGAAAGGAGTAGTTAGTAGGTGCTACAACATGAATAAGAATCTGTATGATGTAGTGATTACTAGCGTATTGAGAATAGGAAAGGCTTTTGATTATGGTTTTCAGAAATGACTGCCATCTGATTCTTTTTTATCTATCAGGATAAGCTTTAGTTGAATTATAGAAACTGGTTGGAAATAAGTCAATGCAGTCAATAATTGATAAGAAATTGGTATCTTGATTGAATTGACTGAGATCAACTGAACTTTGATTGTGAAATGCTCATATCAGTTTCACCCATTCTGTCCAATTTTGGCCTCAAGCCACGCCCATGATAAGCAGCATGATTGATTGAAAAGGGCTTCCCTACCTCAACCGTAAGATCTGGTTTTGCCTGTGCAGGTGAGTGGTGGTCCACATGTAGCATTGAAAGATGGCCTAACATCCGCACCGGTATCATGTGCAATTTGATTCAATGGTTTATGATATCATCTGAATGAAATTAGATTTCCTCCATTCAGGCTACGTTTAGAAATAATCTTCCTTTAATAATTCACAGATTTGTTTTTCATTAACTGCAAAATGAGACCACTTGATTGTAGGAGTTATCATCATGGAGCATAGTAGAGGATGAGCATATGAGTGATGCTGAGTGTTTCTTTGTCTAGACAGAAAATCAGGATTGGTAATTTGGCAATACAATTAACATCAACTGGATTAAATTGAAGATTCAGATATGGAAAAGAACATAATTTAAAATTTAAAATTTAAAATATAAGAAATCCCAAAGAAAAAAAAAGAAAATTGAAAACTTATATATTTATCAGAAAAGATCAGCTGAAAAATATTTTTATCAGTGCTTGAATGTTCATCTTACATACTTCTTATTGTTCACTGAAAATTTTTCTTTGCTCTTTTTTCTGTCTATTTTAAGTTATTTTGAAATATTTTAATTATCCTTCATAGTTTTAATCTGATTTTTATGTAGTCCCCTTTAATTGTTGGTAGGCCTTTCTAGACAAGTTGATTGTCAACCTGGCAACTAAATCTTTGGTAATTAGAGAAACTAAATAAGAGAACTTATCATTAATCCCTTTGGTGACCATGATCAATGAGATGTTGATTTCAGGATCTAAATCATCCACAACTAAGAAGGTCATAAGGAATTTCATGATGGAAGCTGTTGTCCTAAAGAATCTAAATATTGGTGTCTTTGTATCATATATTTGATTTATTTTGAATTATTGCTGGAAGTGCATCTGTAGAACTCAGTTAGGAAGAATAAGGCTGAAAAATTCTGTGATTCATTCCTAAAGGTTGTTAGGAAGGTCCGTTTTGTATTAAGTTGAATTTCAGAAAATGATTAATATAAACAAGTAATTGATGCTTTAAACTGAAATTAATGTGCTGTGAAATAATTTTCTATTCTTGGTTTCTAGTATGATATGTAATGCAGTTCATCCTTGATTAAGAACAATTGTTGTTGTTGGTGCATCTGAAAGTTAGGAACACCAACATGGAGCTTGTAGCTGCAAGAGGAGTTATGTATGCAATTTTATCTTAGCTAAGGCTAGATTGAATATTCATGGTTGAAAATTTATTAGCAAAAAATTACAAGAAAAATTAATTCAAACGCTTATTCTTAACAATTTAGAATTAGTTTTGCATATTAGCAAACAAATTTGCAATGCCTTATAATATCGGAAATTAAGAAAGTGTCTAATTTACTCCTAATTTACATTTCCTGCATCTGAAAAGTTTGGTTAATGAACTACATATACTACTATAAATTCTTCTAAATTATTAGTTTGGCTTTCATCTAATATATGATCTAGTTATGCATGGGTTGCCATCTCTAATTACCTCTTTGTCCACCTATGGTGTGAGATATATTATTTAGTCTGGATGATTATTATTTATGCCTTTATGGGGTTTTTACTTAACAAAGTTTCTTCTATAGGGAGAGATGGCCTTACACACAACATGTTGAATGACATTCATAATAATTGGAAGAATGCTGAGGCCGTTAGGATTAAGTGTCTTGGTGTGCCGACTGTTGATATGGAAAATGTTTGCACCCAACTTGAGGTATATTTTTTGCTTATATTATTCTTTCAGCTACCATGGTCAAAGTATGTGACATATGTGATAGATTCTAGTTTTGTCATTTTTATCAACTATTTATGCCAGCAACTTTCCTTGTCCACATATATTATGTTTCCTGAATATACACAAAGAAATTGCTTTCTAATAGATTTTTCCAGCTTTTCCTTCTTAGTGAAGGTATGGTGCATACAATAATAAACATATGACATTTACAAATGGAGCATTTGCATGTTTGTTTTGTCAATCATTCTGCAAGGCTTTTTGTCAAATAGAGATATTCTCGGATTTTTGTTAACAAGTCATCGAGACATGATTATATGTGATACCATCCAACTAGATGTCAAGGCACCCATTTACAGAGGATCAATTTTTTTCTTGCAAATTACATAAAATGCAAAACAATAATTTGGAAAAGGTGAAGAGCATAAAACATCTTTGATTATACAATGGTGAGTATAGGTTTTATTTGTAAATTGCTAAGTCGATGAAATAATTTGTATAGAGTGATCATTGAAGTCATTGGGCACTCTGGTGAGGCGAGGCTTGAGTACCTCAAGATGACCTAGGTAAGGCCCTTAGGCTTGGGTGCCACCTAGGCCAGCCTTGCCTAGGGCATCGGGCAGCCCAAGCGTGCATCAAATCAATTTGAGAATTGAATGAGATCCTGACTTGACTTAGGTACAAACCACTTGGTTTGATTTTATTTAGTCCAATTTAAAACCTAAACCTAAATCTTCTTGCCCCCCGTGTGACTGCCCCTGCGACCCCTTTTTGGCAATAAAACCCAACCCAGATCACGACCGGTTATCAGCCAGTGTCTTTCCTCCTCCCTGTCAATAATTGGCGGTGTTCGGCAGCCCTCCCCTCTAGCTGTACCTTCCTCCCTCTTCTCCCTTTCCCTGCAGCTCTAGTACCCAAGTGCCAACACTGAGTGTGTTAATATGGTGATGAAGGCCCAAGGTGTAGATTTTAGTTACATCTGGTGGCTGTATCTTTTAGACACCATGTCTTGGCTGATTGCAACTGGAGATGCAAATATGAGGCTTACTTTTAAATGCTAATTTGAAAGTTGCTATGCATTTTTGTTTTCTTGGTTGTAAAATGATGTGTTGAAGGAATGGTTATACAGACAAATTAGGTAATTTATTTTGCAACAATAAATGACTTAGTCACTTCCTTATCATATGATAGTGTTTCACTTTTGTTAAGTAACTCAGACCTAAATTTCTGTTCCAAGTTGAGAGCACAACATGGAAGAAGTATCTAAACTTTTTAAAGCTAAAATCGACCACTATGCCCTTGTCAGTAGAGCACAAACCTACCTTGTTTAGATTGTGATATCATAAACTTTGCTGATCAATGTTTCAGAAATATTTGGTTTATTCACTATAGCAATTTGGAATTAAATGGCATAATGCCATCAAAGTAGAGATAATATTACCATAAATCAATGCCTTTCTTTAAGTTTGCACTGTGGATGATGTGACTAAGTTCTTCCCAGATAAATCATATATGTTTTTGGAATGTTATTATATTTCACTTCCTCTTTTTGTTGGCTAATATCCTAAGGGCCCCAATCATGGGTAAAGCTAAGAAGTCGTATGTTCAAATTATTCTTTTAATAACTTGAATGGTTCATTTAATCAACCGCCCTTCCATTTTATTTTGGAACAAATACTTAAGATGGATGACTTCTAAACCACTATGTCCTACTTTATACGGTGCTGTGTGTATCCATCGAGTCTATCCTTCATGTATGTTTTTTTCTGCTTTCTGGATATTTTCTCTGAAATATTTGGTCGATGACTTCAGGAAAAGACTGGTGGGTCGATCATACACCGGCATGGTGGACAGATCCTATTGTACCGAGGAAGGCGTTACAATGCTAAAAAACGGCCTAGAATTCCATTAATGTTGTGGAAACCTCATGAACCGATATATCCTAGGCTGATTAAAACAGTGATCGAAGGATTAACTATTGGGGAAACAAAGGAAATGAGGAAGCGAGGTCTTGCTGTTCCTGCCTTAACAAAGCTTGGTAATGCATCTTGAAAGGCTACTATCTCTTGCATACTGTTAATTTGTGTTTCTTATTTTTTTGCATTTTTGCAGCAAAGAATGGATATTATGCTAGTCTTGTACCAATGGTCCGTGATGCTTTTCTAACTGATGAACTAGTTCGTATAGATTGCAAGGGCCTCGAAAAAAGTGATTACAAAAAGATTGGTGCTAAGCTCAGGGTAAGGACATAACAATCTCAGTCATTTTTCTTCAAACATTTAACAGAAACATGTTATGTAATATACTGTAAGTCTTGTTATAATGTTGTCTATAAAACTTGTCATGTTAGCCTGAACAAAATTCATTTATAATGCCATGACATCCTCAAAGTTCATTTATGATATCATGATATCCTCAGAGAAGAGGATTTTGTGTTGCATTTATGATATCATGATATCCTCGTTAATAGCATTTATGATTGATGCCCGTCGAGCGACATGACCTGATCACTGCCATGGAGTTTATATTGATTTGACACCTTTCGAAATAACTTATTGGAAAGGTGTGGAACTCAGATATTGAGTGGTATGTGGACTTGTATTGGCCAGTAATTCTGGAAAAATGAAAACACAATGCAGATCAGTCTTTGAGCTGTATGATCCATTGCTGGTGCTTAGTTATACCAGTACTTTAAAGTTTAAACTGTGATCACTACAGCGAGTAGTAATCCCCAACAATAATAGGTATGGGTATGTGGATGCTTTCTTGTCATTGAGCTCTATTGGGGTCAACATTACTAATTAAAATAATGGCTCTAATTGGTTTTAAAAGAGAAAATTCTTAATCTTGTTGTACTGCATACCATCAACTAATTAACTTCCTTATTAGCCTAGCTTGTGCGTTCATAGGTCTCCTTTGTTTGTATAGGTAGATCTACCTGTCAGATTAGATTTTCTACCTTGGGGTATATAAATTTTTGGATTATCTGCGGCATCAGCTGTATGATCAGTAAGGACTGAATTGGCATTATAGGATTGCCAGGTTAGCTTCTTAAGTTCATAGAACTGTGGCCTTGGACTTATGACATCCACAAGAGAGTAGTGTGCGATTGAAAACCTTTTTGAAGTTCTATTTTCTGAATCAACAATTTTTGGTTTCTAAGAACTAGATTAGGTTAAAAATGAAAGGAGTATCTTATTTTGTAGTATCTAGTTCAATGGCAACTCATCATTTGGTGATCCATATTTTGCTGGACTTCCATCTCCCAATTTTATGTTCATGGGAGAAGTTGGATGTTCTCATGTGTTTTTATGTATTTGCCTAAATGTGCCTTGAGCCCATCGTAAGGAGGCATAGTCAAGAGGCACTAAATGAGCTTAGTTTCAATTCATTGGATTCACATTCATTAATTTAATATGCTGTAAGAAACTGGTGTCTAGTTACTTGGAAGAACATGATGCATGAGGTAAGGATCAAGATTGAGGACTAATATGTATTGTACTAATCAATTTTCACCTTCTGGATAAGATACATACTAGAGTTGCAAGAATGCTTTGTTTTTGACAGTGATGCTAGTGTGAATGTTTATATTTATCTTGTATCTGGAAGGTATCTCCCATTCCAAAATGCATTATACTAAAATCCTTCGTGCTCACTTTTATTTCTAATCTCCTTAATTATTAGCTAATATTTGATACAGATGAGCATTTTTTCCCTCTGGTTTAAGGTTTTAGACCCATTATTGAAAAAAAAAAAAGGTTATTGCTTGCTTGCAATTTTAATTGCTTGCTGGAATTGTGATGCAGGACTTGGTTCCTTGCGTCCTTGTGACTTTTGAGAAGGAGCAAATTGTTGCATGGAGGGGAAATAAGTATAACAGAAGCACCCACCCTAGTTCCGAAGAAAGATCTTTCACTCAGGTCACTGAATCAGGTATCTGTGCTGAGAATTGTTCCATTGATTCTTGTAGCAGCTCAGTTGACCAAATCTCTGATTTAAATACCAATGATGAAGACACTGCATCCAGCACCAGTTGAACAAAAAAGAAAAAAGAAGGTAGATGTTAGAATCTGATGCTTGGGAAAAGGACTTGTGACAGTCTTCTGTGCTTGCTTCTGTCCATGAATGCAGAGATGAATGCCTCTCCTGGAGACTAAAAACGAAGCCTCATCTACTGAAGAGCCTATTTGTATTGAAGTCCGATATTATCTTGATGGAAATGGCAGATAAGAAATCATTCTTTCATCGGTATCACAGCAGTGGCTACAGATCAGTTCTTGCAATCGGGAACCAGTAGTTGTTGTCATCACCTTAATCCGACCAAGCAGCAGCTCATGTACTGAAGCAGATCATGTTTCTAATATGGCATCACATTGCTTCAAATTAGACAAAGTAAAATGTTCCATTGACCTCTCACTGGATGACCTTTTGGGTGGATATTGTTTTTGGTTATCTTCTTCCGATTCAGGGAAACCTAAATTTGTCAATTCATCAGTACTGTGAACTGTGTGATCATTATAATGTCAGGGCACAATGAAAGTTTGTGATTCGAATTCCTCTACTTGATGTACAAGAAACTATAAGTGTCTCGGAAAGGCCTCTAAACCTATGCTGGTTATTGCATGAGTACATCTGAGAGAGAATTTATAATTTTCTTGTAAACCATATGATCCATGGTAAATTTTACTTACAGCTGGAAGCATTAGAACTGGGTACTAAAAAATTTGAAGCTCGAATAAAATTAATTAAAATCATTATTTGCAGATTCTTTCCAAATTGGTGCTTTGTCACAAGATACATGCAACTTTTTATTTTATTTTATATGCATTAAATTCATCGTCAAAATATTCTGATCCAACTTCTTTCGGAAGCAAATGCTAAAAGACGCATCACATCACATGGCAGACTCATGCATTAGGTCGTCTCTCTGTTCTTCGAGAACCCTAATTATAAACTGACCAGTTATCTTTAAGGGTTAATTATAAATTGACTCATACAATATGAAAGTGAAACATATATGTTCATTATTATTGGTTTTATTAGTGAAAACATAAAAAAAACAAAGGGTAACATTTCAGTTGGTGATGAAAGATAGTGTCAATGGTGGTATAGTAACATCGTTAAGAACCGCATATGATTATTGTGAATGAGGAAGCGATGACAAGATATGAGGATTATTTTGCATTTGCGTCAACATCAACGTAATTGTCGAGTGGCCTTTCATCACTCTGCATCTGTCTCAGCGTCGATAGTTGCCGAGCGACGAAAGAGCCACTGATGTAAATACCGAGCAATGTCATTTGACAAGTGCATCGATGTCGATGTAGATACAGAGTGGCGTTACTCAACATTTGCATCAATAATCCTTTTATCGCTCAATAATTGTTTTAATGTGAAAATAGATATAAGGCAGCCAAAGGATCACTGGACAAATACATAGCAATCGTCATCTTTCGTCATTGCTCTTATCATTCATAATAACCATCCATGGCATATTGTTGTTCGTCAATGTCATATGTTATTATCAATTGACATATTATTTTTTTATATTTTTATTGATAAAATTGATGATGTTAGGATAAATAAATTTAGATATTTTACTTCTATAAATATAAAAATATTAATATATATTTTTTTAAATTAAAAAAATAAAATACTAAAGATGTATAACAATAAAGGTAATTATTTTACATCGAGGTGTTATAACGCAAGTTAATACGTAATTAGTCCGTTTGCTCGTTTTGCCGAAACGACGACGAGTTATATCACAACTCGGAGTAGGTCAAGACACGAAGACGCCGTTACCATTATGCGTTTCCCACCTTCCCATCAACTCTACCGCCTCTTCTCCTCTTCTTCCACCTCTGCAGCCGCCGCCGCCTCTGTCCACCTCCCTTCCGCCTTCCCCGCGGCTGATCCATCTACCACTCTCGACCTTGATACCATCTTAGAAACCCTCACTAGCTACGCCAGTGACTGGCAGCGGGCCCTCGATTTCTTCCACTGGTCCTCCGCCGCCGCCGCCGCGGGCGGCCCCACCCACACTGCCGCCGCTCTTTCCCGGACCATCGATATCCTCGGCAAGCACTTCGAGTTCCCCCTCGCTTGGAGCCTCCTCTCCTCTCACCCCCTCTCCCCTCCCGACCTCCTCCGCCCCTCGTTCCGCGCCCTTTTCAACCGCCTTGCCGCCGCGCACCTCGTTGACGATGCCCTTACCGCCTTCGACCGCGCCGCCGCCGAACACGGCCTCCGTGATCGTGTTACCTTCCACCTCCTCGTCGATGCCCTCTGCGACCACCGCCATGCGGCCGAGGCCGAGGAGATCTGCCTCCGTTCCAAAACGCCGCCTTTCCCACCCGACACCAAGACTTACAATCTCCTCCTCCGGGGATGGCTCAAGATGGGATGGTGGAGCAAGTGCCGCGAGTTCTGGGAGGAGATGGATCGGAAAGGGGTGGAGAAGGACCTCCATTCATACTCCATCTACATGGATATCCTCTCCAAGGCTGGGAAACCGTGGAAGGCTGTCAAATTATACAAAGAGATGAAGAAAAAAGGGTTCCTTTTAGACGTCGTTGCGTATAACACAGTTATCCAGGCGATTGGGCTTTCACAAGGTGTCGATTTCTCAGTTAGAATGTACAGGGAGATGCTTGATTCTGGTTGCAAGCCCAACGTTGCGACCTTCAACACGATCATAAAGTTGCTGTGCCAGGAAGGGAGGTTCAGGGAGGGGTATGCTTTTGTTGATCAGATGAGGAAAATGGGTTGTGAACCAAATGCGATGACTTACCACTGCTTCTTTCAGAATCTGAGTAGGCCACAGGAGATTCTTGGGCTGTTTGATAAGATGATAAGGAGTGGTTGCCGGCCGAAGATGGATACCTATGTGATGCTGATGAGCAAGTTTGGAAGGTGGGGGTTTCTCAGGCCGGTGTTTATGATTTGGAACTCAATGTTGGAGCATGGCTGTAGCCCGGATGCATTTGCTTATAATGCATTGATTGATGCATTATTGCAGAAGGGGATGGTTGACATGGCTCGGAAATACGATGAGGAGATGGTGGCAAAGGGGCTCTCACCAAAGCCAAGGAAAGTGTTGGGGACCAACGGGCCGGGTATGCAGGCTGATGATGATCCTGATGATGTAACTCATGTCTTTTGAGGGCACAAATAAAAGAGAGTTCAGGCGCATAATGCATGGCATTCTTATTTATGATTGACCTCATGGATGAGAACTTGCGTCTGATAATTATTGATGCGCCTATGTTATTCAAAAAAAATTCAGAGGTGTTTGCACAGTTACAAAAAATTTGGATATGCTATAATACTTGAGGTCATCAAAATAGAAGGTCATAATTGGATGTATTATTGTAGAAGCAGGAATTAACAGCTGGATACTCCAATTACCCAGAAAGCTACTGTCTTGTATGTGTTGCTTAGATTCAGTGTTTAAGTTTTTCTTATAATACTTGAATATTCCTTCTTAATCATAGTTTTTCTTCCTTTTTGAATAAGATGGCAGTTTTCTATAGGGTTTCTTCTTTCATAGCATTGAATAAGATGCTTGTTTAATGATTTGCTAGAATTACATTTTTCACTTATATCACTTGTCAGGAGTAATACAAATCTCATTAGTTCCAGTCAGCAGATATTTAGTTGCTATCCATGTCCCCTATCTTGAAATTTGAATTTTAAACACATCTTTCTCACAGTATTACATATGTAGAATACCTTTGGTACTATTGGAATCTGTGTTTGTTGCAGTTGAAAATCACATTCTGCCTTTTTTTACATTTTAATAACTCTGTCAATTTTTTACAGCATAAATGTTGCACTTTAAGGCATTCCAACATGTAATATGTTGCTTGTCTATTGTTTTCCAACATTTTGCTGATGTCTTTTATGATCTTTACTAGCTTTTAAGCTATGGCGGAATGTAGTGATTCAAAAGAAAATCTTAGTTTACCTTAATGTTTAGTGAAAATTGTATAGATTAGACTTCCAACCCTGATCAAGATCAAGAATTTGCCATAGTTGTAGCTTCTTACCATCATGGCAGGTAAGCGGACAGTCAATCATCTGTTTGGATGTTGTCGGTTTTCAAAAATTCTACTTCAACCCCATGAATTTCTACAGATCTTATTTTGATTTATTACCTTTAAGTTGTTTGAGTGTGAATGTGACCTTGAGTAAGGATCGCATTGGTAGTTAGAACGTTACTAGTCCCAAAAGTTGATATGATGATGATAGACTTATTTTAGATCTCTTACAACAAAATATGTTATATTTGGAGTCTGGAACACATTTTTACATACATATAAATGTACATAGAAGCATATATGAACAAGGATGTGGTTGATTTACAAGAATAGCCAACCCGAAGGTAAATACAAGCCATCGACTGAATACATTTATTTTTATTTTCTTTCCCTATGCTTCCTGAGGATTTTTGGAATATTGCTTTTTTATCAGTACAATAGTAAATATTCCATGATTTAGGTCATGCACTGTAAATGTAAATCACTAATCAATCAACGATTTGTGGTAAGATAGTGTTAGATTATGCTCTGAGTTTTGTGTAGCACAGAGGCATATGGCCGTGGTTAGTTTGAGAATAGGAGTCTGTCTATTTGATAGGTGTATACGGAATGGTGGATATTTCTTTTTTCTCCTTTCTTTTCTTTTTGGATTTTGTACGGTGTTGTATATGTACCTTGATTGATGTGGAAAAAGATTTTTGAGATCTAATTTATCTAGTCAATTAAATCGATCATTAAACTATGGCCAATGGACTAATAAAGAAGTTCACGATAGAGGCAACTATATCGTTTCTTTTCGATCCATTTTTTATGCCCATGCAATGAACTCTTTAACAGAAAGGTTACTCTGAAGTTTAAGCTTGTATTCCTTTCTTTATTATCACATGCCTCATAATTATAGTATGTTTTCCAATTGGTGTATTATGTTAACTAGAAACGAGAACATTGAAAACTTCTTTTAAATTGAATTTGTGAATTCAGAATGGTGCGCTATCTATCACATCCTGAATCATGGATATCATATGTTACTTTAGTTAATATGGTTTTCTTCAAGTAATGTAGATTATTTATCTTCAATAAAAACAGAGGCACTGTGCATCTGTTCTGTTTACATACACTAATACTTTTCCTAGATCCTTGATCTCAGTAGTCTCCTTGTTTTTGCAGTTTTACTAGTTAGGTTCATTCAATACTTTAGCATGTTCCGATCTACTTGTCAGTGGTGTCTCCCATTGCCATGATCAAGCTGTCTTCAAAAGTGTTCCATACTTCTGCCACTCTTCGATCCATTAACCCTTTGATCGCCTCCCGAAAATGATTATGCTGCTTCCATCCGGATCAACTGGCTGTGCCCATTACCAACAAGTTCTTGAAGATGTCAACATATCTATGTGCACATCCTTGAATCCATGTATGCGTATCTAGATCTTGGTTTTACATAAACAAAAACAAGAACTTGATGGATTGCAGGAAGGTTATGACAAAGTTAATGAAGAATGGGAAGGTTGCAGAGACTCCTTATGATCACCAGATGTTCAAATGAGAGCAATCTCAAGGATGGGGACCAACTTAAGAGGATACCATTCACTAACATCTTTCTTCTTGCAGACCGAAAAGATACTTTTACTGCAGATGCATCAAGGTGACCACGGATTGAACTAACCAGCTTTATGGACAGGTACGACGGCTTCGAAGAAATGCTGTCTTTGGATGAATTACTTCGGTAATGACACAAGAATTAATACAGAAATTATTATAGAGAGTACTTACAGGTGTAAATACCCATCTGCTCTGTTTTTTATAACTGAAGCTAGCAAGAGTAGATGGACTAGGATTGATATGCTTTGTATTATAATAGATATTGGTCGAGCAAGCTGTCCATGTGTTTCTCCGTAGTGTCTAAGTTATAGTTTAACATGTGGTGATATTATGTATTTGTTGAGACATTCTAGTGATGAGTGAGATATTGCACGATAACGGGTCTCAAGTTCGAGATCATGTGTTAGCGTTTTGTATGTTGTTTAATGTAATAAAAATTTCTTATTGAAAAAGATATCATCATTGGTTTTGCTTTCAGCTTTAGCTGACAAGCAACAAAAAGATAGCAATACATATGTGAAAATTGAAAATATCGATCAATCGTTGTTCTGTCGAAAGGATTCTTTTGTGAATGGGAAAATAGTTTTAAATTATTAAGTTGTGGGTTAAATTTAGTTTATGTTATCCAACTCTTCGACAATGTGTCCTCTTTTAAATATTTATCGAATAATATTTTTAGTAAAATCTCGACCAATAAATCGAGGAGGAGGAGATTGATAAAAGAACAAACAAACACTGATGATCCCGAACAGAAGGAAACGGCACTGAAACATCAAGCATATGAATGTCGTTTAGAACGCAGGATCAAGTCTCCTTAGAGCTCCAATCCTCTTCATCAAGAGTGTAATGGTTTCAAGATCAGTCCCCGGAGGATGCTCACCACATTTCCGGGCTGCTTCTGCTCCTGAAGGAGAAGATAGCTCTGCTTCAGGACCCAAGAAACAAGTTCCAGCAACAGCATCCCATCCCTCTGGTTGAAGGGATCATGATTTCTTCATTGAAACAGTGCTGATCCACAAATGATCTCGTTTGTTGTCAAGGTATGAAGATGATGATGATAATGGTAGCTTGTGGAGCTCAGTTGCAATGGGCATCTGAACCTGACAAGCTGCTGCCCTGAGCTGATGGATGGAATCATAGAGGCTGAAGGAGATGATAAACAAAACAAATAAAGGATTTGAACTCATGACCTACCTTGAAATAATAATAATCACAAGTTCCAAAGGCTTAAAATATTAGAAAAAAAAAAAGCTTTAACATCTCCTCTCACATGCAAGTATGTCGCATAAATATTGATTAAACAACAGATAAAAATAAATATACAGGGGATCAGATTCCATAGAGAAATATAACCTTCGGTCTCTACATAGAAATCTGGCTTCACAAAGACAAATACCAGGAAGAATCTACTTGGAGAAAAATGTGAGCAAGTACAACAAATTTGAGTCAGTGAAATAGAGTGTATCCTAGTTTACTAGCAAACCCACACCGCGAAAGGTATCTACAACAAGCAGAAACTAAACACAACCACCGATACAGACTAATCAAGCAGAAAATGCAACAAGACTATCGGTCACTCCACTAGAACCTGGCAACTGATGCCCCACCTTAGCTTAATCCACAAGCCTTTTCTCATCACAGGAACATGTGAGATAACTGCAAACACTGGATGGTCATTTGTTTCCTCTGAGATTATTTTTTGCTGAGAAGAAATGAAAAATGATGCAAAGTACAAAGAGATGTGGTTGACTTACCTCCACCTACTGGGGTCAGACACAATTTTCAGTATCTATAATCTCCATCAAAGATTGTACAATTTTCACTCCAAGATTTAGAGTCTCTTTCGGAATGAGATTCTCTTTGAGCTTGCACCTCCTCCAAAATTGTACGACGAGCTTTAGGTGCTCTTTCGGACTGCAAAGAGAGATTTGGTGCCTACAGTATTCTTGAGCTCGTGAGGAAGGATAATTCACTACTGTTCTTTCTCATAACAAAGGAAAATGATAAATTTTATTTAGAAAGAAAAATTCCATAGCTAATTCAATGAAACAAGACACTGCAAGCAACAACATGAGTAAAAGAATCCTCAAGAGGAAAAATAAGAACAAGTTGCACTTTTCCATCCCGTGGTTTGGATGATTTCATATTGTCAACCTGCATCTTGATTTGTATCACTTTGACCCATAGGTTTTACTCTACTTGTTTACTGGGATTTCCATTACTAACCCCACATCAAAAAAGATGACACTGCCCTTGCAAAAAGGTGATCTCATGAGGGCATCTTCATCCTTTTGTGACATGTAGCAGCACTAAAAATGTATGGAAGCAATCAGAGAAAAACCCAGGGGCAAAGTGATACAGCATGAATGCAGATGAACAATTACAAATGTCCCAAAACATGGGTAGGGAAAATGCAATTTACCCAAAAAGAGTTACACAACATAAGTCCAGGAACAGAATTCTGTTGTCTTACCAATGCTAAAAATCTTATGCCAAGAGAAGTGCCAGACTAAATTTTGTATTCAACAAGCTAGCAATATTCCTTCCTTTTGAAGCAAGATGCAGAATTTGACACAACGAAATTAGAGGAAGTCAGGACAAAAGTATTATATCTCATATTACACAAGTTATATTGGAGCCTTGCTCAAGGATTATAAAAAAGAAGTGAGATCAACTGAAGATGGTAACAGAAACACATGGTTTGAAATTTGAATCTGTAGTTATGATGAATATGGCTAGTTGCTGGATCAAGATCCCTTTTCAAATTGAAAATGAATATATATATATATATA